TCTCTCTCTCTCTCTCTCTCTCTCTCTGGAAGGAGTCTGCAGTCTGCTATCCACGACTCCAATGATGACGGGGAGTACACTATGTGTATGTGCGCGGGTGCGAAGCAGCGGTGAATATATATGAGACGTGTGGCAAGAGGCGGGGACGCCGGCGCCTGTACGTGCCAATATTTATGAACGTCCTTCATAGTTGCGGCTCACCTGATCGCCAACGCCTTCAAAAAATATCCATTTATGTGTCTCTCTTTGCTGATGTGTGCTTTTTTCTTTTGTTTCTGCTGTGCAGGGGCGATATATTTTCTTTTCTTTATTTTCTTTTGTTTTTCTTTTTCGCCGCTGCTGCTGCTGTGCTTCTTGGTGCTTTGAAGTCTGCCCATAGTTGCATCCCCCCCCCCCCCCGTGCTGCCCCATGCAGCCACTGGATGCGCAGCCGTATGAGACGGCGCTGCAACGATTGTTGCGCGCCGCGGTCTGCAGTGACGAACAGTTACACGATTACCATCTCTCTCAGGCCCTCCGCAGCCTGGCGTACGCCGTCAACCGGGCGTCTCTCCCCGTCGCTACGCCGCACCCCTCACAAGGCCCTTCTACGCGGAACAAGACACCGCCCGCCCCCTCGTCGCCAGGCCTGACACGCGCAACCGCAACAGCTACGAGTGTAACTGGAGGCGTAGCAGTGCTGTGCCGCATGTGCGCATGCGCGTTGGCTTCACAGGCGAGTCTGCAAACGCTGGTGTACGTCTCCACTCGGTTGTTGTGCGACGAGGCTACAGCATTTGGTGAGGGAAATGAGCGCCCAACTTGCACAGCAGCGTGGGTCGAGGCTCTTTGTTCTCCGTGTGTTCAAGGTTCATTCCTGCACAAAGAGATGGGTATTCACCGTCGTCTAGCATTGGGCTACTTGCTCATCCTTTCTGGCACCGTTCGCGCTGTGTCGCACGGCTGTGTCAAGGGCAAGCGACTTTACAGTCATTTTGTGGAATTTGCACAGCGATTGCTCGATGACGTGGTGCCCTGCGTGGCAACGATGGCAGACACGAAGGATGACATCTCTCTGACGCAACTGCCTTCTACAATCTCTTTCACCGAGGACGCAACATCGGAGGCGGTACGCGGCGTGTTGCACGCACCTTCCCGTCTGACGGTCGAGGCGAACAATGCACTGCTACACTTATTTCATGACATCGCGCTGGATGTCTTGGAGGTGCATGAGAATGATGATAGACAGACAACGCCTAGCCGCTGTATGGTGTTGGATCGTGAGGTCCCCTCACGCATCTGGGCTGTGGCCTCCATTTTGCGGAGGGCATTGCTCCGGGCGCTAGACTGGATTCAGAAGGAAGTTATTTGGTACGGAAGCTCTGTAGACACTGTGGAGCTCCCGAAGGAGTCTCAGGCCGTTGGTGAGGCGATTGCTTTGGTTAAACGCGCCCTGGAAGATGCATTCACCCAGCTGATTTATAGGCAAGAAACATTTGAGTGCTCGCGGCGATCTGCTGAGTGGCAATTTGGGCAAAATTCAAAGGACTATCATGCCAGCAGTGAAATAATGTGGACAAACACCCTACGACTTTTTTTTATCTGCCGGAGCCTATCAAGTGTGTGGACGTACATCCACAGCGGTGTCGGTGACGTGGAGGTGCAACACACAGACGCACAGATAGTGGCGCTTATTGCTTCTTTTCTGTCGTCCGTGCCATCTGTGGAGGGAGAGGAAAAGGAAAGTGACGTATTTTTCGCCACCACAATGCTTCTTTCAGGGGCACTTGCCGCCGTAGCGGCGGCCCCTGCTCCATCGATGCAGGCATCACTCTGGCTTGCGGATTTGAACACAACCCAACAAATTCATAATGCGATTATTCAGCGGGGACTTCGTTATCGAGACGAAAATGTGCAAAAGTTAAGCGCACTACTGTCACGGTTAATAGTATATAGCTCATCCAACAGTTCCTCCTTTCGCGTCATTGCCGATTCCCCCGATCAACTTTTGGAACTTCTATCGGATGGCCGTGATGGGGCGTCGCAGTGTGTCACTGGTCTATTGATTCGCGCGGCCGTTGAACGGCCGCATTCAATTTTGCCCTCACTTTTCCGTTTGTTGCAGCATGGCGACGTCAAGACTCGGCGAAATGTTCTAGATGTCCTCGCCGCCCTTCCGCAGGCCTCCGAGGACTCTCTTTACGGAGATGCCTTTACGTCAGAGCAAATGCGGCCGGTATGGCGACTTCTCTCGGAGGAACTTCTCTTACGGATTCAGGACGAGGAATTGCAGATTCGACTACAAACTTCGAAGCTATTCGCCAAGGTGTGGCCAGAGGATGTGTGTCGTTCCTTGTTGAGGCTGGCAACACAGCGCGACAGAGCTGTTAAACGACAATCGGCCGCGCAGCAGGCTTTGCGCTCCGTTGTTGAAGCCCGCAGCGGCGACAAAAGTATTGTGCTGCTATTGATACAAGAGTCGTTGGCGTTGTTGGGGGAAAGTGTGCCACCGATCCGTGCTGCCCCCTCCACACCAGCTGATATTGTGGCGTTTGCAACATTGCACTCTGGCACATTACAGGACACCGCTGCAAGTCAACATGAAAACGGCCCATCCCCAGCGGAAGAGGGAACTGTCAAGGAAAGACTTGTGCGGGTGGTGGCGTTCTTGGCACGCCATTGGGCCGAGGGTGTAACAGCGTGGACGGAGGCGTGTGTTCTGCCATTGTTTCAGCGTGCGATGGAGGCGAGTGCTCCTTTGGAGCAAGAGCTTGTAATTCATGTCATGACCCAAATAGCTTCTGTATGCGGTTCGAGAAGGGACGGTTTACTTGCACTCTCGTTAACTTGCCTTCATATCATGAAACCGACGGAGGAAGAGGACGCAAGCCAGTCAAGGATATGGCTGGAAACCACCACCAATGCCTCAGCGTCAGCTGATTCTGACACGGCAGGTTACCGAATAATAGCACCACTGCTGTTTCTTCGCGGCTGCCCGAGGCGGAGTTTTGCCGCATTCACCACGCTGAAGGAGATGCTCCCCCCTGTTGCGGAGCTGTGGCAATTTCTGTGGAGCGTGATTCTCACTGCAACGTCCCGCGAAAAGCTACCACTGGATGCCCAGCGCCTACTACTAGAAGTGTTGTGCAAATACAACGCCTCTGTCCTGCTGGAGCGGCTACGCGACCTCGAGTCCGGGTTCAAGAAGCAGGGGTTTTTGTCATCTGATGCTCGTGACGAGGCGCGTTTTTTGTACCGTGTTGGCTTTTTTTGCATGGGTTTCCTCCTCTCTCAGAACCGGGCATCATTTCACTCGAAAGACACGAGGTCGAACGTAGTGGCGAATACGCCTGAACCGGAGCAAGAAAAGGCGACAGAGGCAGTCGTCCGCCTAGAAACGGAGGAGGCTGAAGAAGTTGAATTAGCTGAGTTGGTGGTTGGTGCCCATATGGTTGGGCGCTGGGCCGAGGAAATAGTGGTGCCGTGGCTTTTGAGCGAGGATGACGCGGGAGTCTGCGATGGCGCTTGCGCTGCGGATTGTCAGCGCGTAAGCCGGGCGGCGATGGAGTGTTTGGCCATTTTTCTGGTCGTTGCGTTGAATCGCCCGGTATTTAACGATGCCGTGGTACCGTTTGTTGCGCTTCCACTGACTCAGCTGGCAACGCAGTGTCGAGAGCGGTTGACATGTTTGAGGGAAACGCACAACGTCACAGGTGGCCCCTCCACGGACTGGGATCTCTCCCCTCACCTCCTTGGGCGTTTTGAGTTCGCCATGCACATTCATCAGCGTGCCCTCAGTCTGCTGCGAACACATCCCTCAGGGAGGACGATGCTTAGCCCGTATTTTAAGCAGTATATGCCGCAGTTAATTGAACTCGCCAACGCCTCTTGCAGCGTAGTTCTGCGTCTTGCTAGGAAGGATATTGCGCAGGTGGCTGTTGAAAGTTGTCATGTACTTTTTCTGGCTGTAATGGCCACCACTGGTGCGCCTCCAAAGTTCCCTGACAACGGGGTCGCAAAAGGGCACACGCTCCCCTCGAAGAGCGCATTGATGCTTCTTCCTGCCACCGATCGAAACGCGCTGCTTACCTTTGCGGTGGGTAGTGCTAGGTACACTGAACTTCCACAGTTGCAGTCAGAGGGTGTGAAGTTGCTCTCGGCGCTCTTGGGTGCGGCACCCGATGTTTTCATGGCGGAGTCTCACAAGGATGAGGCACCGCTAGGAGAAGCCCTTGCCGTCTTGGCGTCGGTGGCGCTGATGCATCCTGATGCCAAAACCCGCGTCCTTGCGGAACAGGTTTGCGGGGTTTTGCAAACGAACTAAATGACTGAACTTCATATAAATCGTGAAGAGGCGCTCTTGTTTTTTTTCCTTTTTCTTTTCCCCCTCCTCTTTGTTTCCGTTCCTTTTTTTTTGTTTTTTCTTCTGTCAAATAAGTCTATCCCTCTTTTCTGTTTAATTTTTCCCTCTTTTGTTCATTTTCTTTTTTCCATTAACTACTGTTTTTTTTTTTTTACAGGCCATGGCGCACCCCTGGCACGCGCTGCCCTCCACGGCAGCGGTGCATTTGCCAATGACGCTCTGCGGAGGGCAGTGCTTCCGCTGGCGTCGCACACCGCGAGGCACTTGGGTCGGTGTGGTGGAACGCGGCGCGTACGAGCTCTCTGACGCCCCTCATCCACCCGAGTTCCCAACAGCTTCGCAAATGTGCGAGGCAAAGCAACGGATGCGTTCCTCTTTTTCTTCCTCTTCAGACTCCCATGAGGATGTTCTTTGGTTTCGCTGTCTTCATCGTGAGCTGAATACTGCATTGGAGGTGTCAGCAGAAGCCCGTTTTTTGTCTTATTACTTGGCGTTAGATGTGGACCTGCAACAGTTGTGGCGACGCTGGACATTGGATAATCCGAGGCGCGACCATCCCCTGGTGCGTTACCTCACTTTGAACGGGGCCGAAGAACTTCCCGTCAGCATTCGTCATTTGCGGCAGGACCTTCATGAGACGCTGCTGGCGTTTCTGTGCTCACAGAATAATAACGTGCAGCGCATCACAGGGCTTGTGGAGAAGCTGGCCACCTCCTACGGAAATCGCTTGTGTGAGTACAACCCTGTAACGGGTAAAGTTAGAAACGTGAGCTCTCTGAAGCATGTCCCTACGAAGCGTAAGCAAACTGCCAAGAAGGCTGCTGCAGGAGACGGAGGTTGGATAGCTTTACACGCTATGCCTAGCATGGATCAGTTAGTCCGCAGTTCTGAGGACGACTTGCGTGCACTGGGGTTTGGGTACCGTAGTAAGTACATTATTAAGTGCGCTTCCATTATTAAGGCCAGTGGTGTAAGCGAGCAAAAAAGAGGGGAGGACGGAACGAGCTCTTCCTTTGGCATGCAGTCTTACAAGTGGTATGACGAGTTTTTGGACGCGCACCTCAGTTTGTGTGAGCGGCGGGAAAAACTCTTGTCACTTCCTGGCGTGGGTCGCAAAGTTGCGGATTGTGTCCTCCTTTTTGCTGGGGGTCATCACGAGATTGTGCCCGTTGATACACACATGGCCCAGGTTGCGACAGAGTACCTGATTGAGACGGCATTGTGTGGTGCAAAGTGCACTGTTGACGGAATTGGCCAGGGCCGAAAACGAGATTCTTCAGGGGAAGCCTCATCGCAAGGGTCATCAGTGAAAGGATTAGGTTGGGAAATGGTGTTGGCAGATTGGTATAGGAGAGGGAAAGAGCGCGGCATGAAGATGCCGGCGCTTTTGTCTAAGCATCATGATGCCATTCAGTTGGGGTTTCAGGAACTCTTTGGTGACTACTGCGGCTGGGCCCACAGTATTCTTTTCTACGCACGCATGAGAAAATGGAAACGAGAGGCATGAATTTTGCTCGCCAACCTGCAATGCTCTTCTGGAGTGGTTTGGAGAACAGTGTGGCAAGATTCTCTTCCACCGATATAAATGAGTATATTTAATTATTTTTATTTTATTTGCTTTTTGTTTTGCCTTTTCTCTGAGGGAGTTTGAGCGTCTGTGTGTGTTGTTCATTCTTGCCGCGCAATGCATTCACATTTGCTTAATGCAATGGTGTGCGAATTATTGTTGGAGCCACAAATATCACACTGAATATATACATATAAACATATATGTATATATTGCAAGCCTTCACTGTGGTGTGTGTGTGTGTCTACGGGGAGTGGGGGGGGGGTAAATGGTCGTGCTTCCTTTTTTTTGTTTCTCTCTCTTTTCCACACAACCCGATAGGGTGTGGAGATGCATGGGGTCGATGAGGCGCAGACGGCTCTGGTTTAAATGCATAGTGGTGTGGATTTGTCTGGCAGAGGTGGTTTGCCTTGGGGCACGGGTGTTCCTTTCATCTGCGGAGAGTCACGGCGAGGGTAGGACAAAGGCATCTGCGGGAGTTTCTCCTGCTGCAGCGACGCCACCATCGCAGGTGCCACGTAATGTGGTAGTGACGTGTACACCCGCCCTCCGCAACAACAGCGACACAGATTCTACAGTGAATGGAGTTGTACTGTTTCTTGCGGGGAAGAAAGAACCCTTTTTTTTGTCAAGGGCACTTCCCCTGCTGGAGGCGCACTTCCTTGCGCATTTCTCGTATCCAGTGCACATTTTCCATGAAAACATGTCAGAGGAGTGGCAAGCGGCCATACGAGGCGTGCTGCCGTCGGCCCGTTGGGTGAGCTTTGAGGACGTGGGAAGGTTCTGGCGTGAGTTGCCGGATGGTGTGACGGAAGAGCAGCTTGCAGCCTGGATGCGTACGCCGTCACAGCGAAGATACCAAGGGCGTGGATATCGCATCATGTGCCGTTTTTGGGCCGGACTTGTGTGGCGACTGCCTTCCTTAGACACCTATGAGTATTACTGGAGGCTGGACACGGATTCGTACTTGACGTCACATGTTCCTTGTGACGTATTTAAGTTGATGCGAGTCAACCACTGCGTGTACGGCTATAGACGCATTCGTGGTGAAAATCCACGTGTTGTGTGGGAGCTTTGGCCAACATTTCTGAGGTGGGCCAAGGTGACCCTGTCTTCCGCGGAGTTAGCGGGGGTAACAGAGTTCGCTTTAAATACCAGTACAAAAGACTACGAAGGAGTTATGTATTACAACAATTTTGAACTTGGCACGATGAAATTGAAACGCCATCCGCTGTATAGTTCCATCTTCCATTTCTTGGACACGGAGGAGCCACGTGGTATCATGCGATATCGCTGGGGTGATGCGCCGATCCACACACTTGCCGTGGAAACGGTGATGCAGCATGAGGGCTGGAAAAAGTGCCAATTTGATCAACGTTTTGCCGGATACATGCATGGGAAAAAATAGACTCTTATTCTTGTGAGTATTATTATTTCTGATGCGTCGTTGTTTGGCCTTCTTGTTACCGTTCGTGTTGTTTTTGTTAGTCTTGTTGTTGTTTTTGCTCTTTTTCGCTTGTGGTGCTATTAAGCTGCGAGTATTGTGACTCAGGCTTGAGTAGAGTGTGTGAGAATGCCTCATTCTGGGTTTGGGCATTGCCTCCCATTTGCTGTGTTTAGTTTTGCAGCGCAATCGATGCGCGGCCGCGTTCGCTTTTTTTTTTTTGCTTTTCCTTTCTTCTGCGTGGGTCTCTCTTTGGCTTGTGGCGGGTCTCTGGGAAGAGGGGGGGGGGGGAGACGCCAGGTGTGATGGGCGAGGCATTTGAGATGCTGCGCTTTGCCGCGCTTTCATCCGCTGTTCACGCCGACGCTGTTGAATGCCTCGTGGATGACACTCGCTCCGTCGTGTCTCGGATTGCCGCGGATGCGGAGCAGCTGGATGCCCTCGAAGGGCACCTTGCCGAACTGCTGGAGGAGCAGCGACGCCTGCGCGCCGTCTGTGACGTGTTGAGTCGGTCGAGGACCGCGCGAGGTAAGACCGGGCCGGCTCGACCTGGCGAGCACCCCACACAAGGGAGGGGCACGCTTGAGACGCGAAGCGTCGAGGCGTCTCCTGGTGTGGCTGCCGCTTCCAGCATTGGGAACGTTTTGCGCTTTGCCGCCAAGGCAGGGACAGAGGAAGATGTTCGCACAAGGACACCGTCGGCGCGACGAGGGCTCGAAGCCACGGGGGAAGCGTCCGTGGGCAGCACGCAAGACGCGAAGGACGCAGATGGGGAGGAAACCATCGACGAGCAGGTGGAGCGCGTGGAGTCGGAGGTGCGGTTACTGGACAGCATGTCTGTCAAGACAAAGTTGCGCGAGTTGGAGTCTCTCAAGCGGCAGGTGGGGGATTTGAATGCCAACGCCATCATGGAACGCTACGTGGGATCCTTCGACTTCAATTGCGATGTGGAGCGACTTTGGAATGCCAAGAGTGATATTTTGAACAGTGCAAACATGGATCTGTTTATTGCCCGGGCGTGTCAACGCTTCTCGGGACGCTGCGAAGACGCGTTGAACGTCATTAGTGACTTTTCAACGTATGAAGAGGGTGACGCTGCGCGGGTGCTTGGCTCGCTACTGTACCTTGAAGCATTAACCTCGTTGCATAACTATGACGCTGCTGCCGTGCGGACTTTGCAGGGCCTGGACGAAGACGCGGCTTTGAGTTACTATAGAGAAAAGAGACGTGTCGCCACGGTTGGCACCACCGTGAGGCGTAGTCGTGTAGAGACAGTTCTGGGACCGGAGGAGTTTGTTTTTTTACCTGAAGATTGGTGGAGCTCGCAGCTGCTTGTTACTCCTGAAGCCATTCAGTTGCCACCGGCACGACACATCCTGACCCCGCGGTTCTCCTTTGCGGAAGCGAAGGAACTCAACACTCTTCAGTCCATGCGTGTTGATTTTCAGCGGAGTGTGTTGGATGCCATTATTCGCATGCCCAAGGCACTAGGCGAACTTCAGGAGCAGACAGTGTTGCAGCCGGCGCAGGAAGAAGCACGAGATGCGGGTGTCGCTTTGCTTCGGCTGTTGCTGGGCGAAGAGGAGAGTGGTGTTGGTGTATGGGCGACGGTAGCGCGCCGCACATGAGAGAATTGCCCATTTTCTCTCTTGATTCCCTCCTGCTCTCAGTTTTTACAGCCGGTGTGTTGTTGTTGTTGTTGTCACACGTGCATCATAATGGATATATATATATTGCCTTATACTCTGTTTTTGTTTTTGGTTTTTGTTTCTGTGGTTATCGGCTTCCTCTGTGCTGCTTCTCTCCCCTCTGCGATTGTTCACACACACACGTACTAGCGAAGGAGAAAAGTTCTGTTATCACATACACTGAAAGCTTGCAAAGTAAGTGGGAAAAAAAAGTGGTTTCAAGTGTCTTTTTCGTCATCTTGAGGTCCCGACGCAAACATATTCGCCCTGCTCGGAAGAAGTGAGCGAAGGGGGCGGGTGGGGGGGGTGGGAGTGGCCCAAGTGGATTGCACCGCCCTATTCCCTGCCCAGATTCAGGCATACTTGTAGCCGTGGGCTTCTTTCGAGTTAGTCGTGTTTTTATATTTATTCAGCGTTCGTTACTTCTTGTTACTGGGACGACGTAATATTCGTGTCGTTCTCGTGGGCGGTTGGGCGGACTGCAAACCCGTGAAATCCCTCATCACCTTCCCCGCCCTCTGCGGAAACTTTGTTGTTGTTGTTATTGTTGAAGCGTGTGCCGCCTCCGTGGCATTTCTTAAATGTTGGATGCACACCTTTGCATTAGGCTCCTACTCCTCTGCTTACTGACCCTTGGCTTGCCGTTGTATGGTGGGGGCGCGAGGCCCCTGGCTGCATTTGCGGCCCAGGTGCTCCCCCAGGATGTGGATTTACTGCGCAGCGTGGAGACGGAGACGGCGGGCGCGGACGCCTCTGCCGGCAGACCGGACCTACAAGAATTGGTGCCGACATACCGGTCACATCCCCCAAGCATGCTACTGTTGTTGCAGAAAGACGGCAAGATTTCATCGTATGGGCTCGACGATGGGAATAAATTGTGGACTGTGGACACGGGCGGGGACGTGCTGCGTGTAGAGGTTCAACAGCAACCGAGAGAGCGAATGATCCGTGAAGATCCCCTTGCGCTTCCTTTTATACTGGAGGGGGGACTGCTGTTTACGAGGCGCTGCATTTCGCCATTCCACTGTAGAAGGCAGACGTCAGCTGAGTGTTTTGTCAGCCAGGGCAGCGAAGCGGAAACGCGCCCAGACGCAAGGCCCGACGAGGAGGAAGCTGGAAGCAGCGCACAGGGCAGATGTGAAACTCCCCTTTCAAAGCTGCCCTTTCCTCGCTGTTACATGAATCTTTCCACGCTAATTGAGAAGAAACACGTACAGGTAGGAGATACAGATATATTCGTGACCACATCAGCGCATATTATGGATGTGAATAGCGATGACGGTAAACCAGTGCCGGAGACAAATTTTCTTCTCACTTACCTACATCTTGTGCGGTACGATTTTACTGTGCATGTGCGACGTCCAGGCGAATACAGTTGGCAGATGAATATAGCTCAGTTTAAACTTTCTGAAAAGTCTCCCTTACACGTCTCTGATGAAGATTGGGCCGACGATGATCCACTGCTTGTATCTCGTGCGCTTCAAAGGCTGCTTCGAAGAGGTGACTGTGGCGGCCAAGGCCATGTGACTTCCACGAAAGAAGGTGACAGAGCAGGTGCAGGACGGCTGGGACCAGCGGCTGTGGATGAAGGGTTTCGTAAAGATATTCTTGCCGAACAGCTGATGTTCCGAGAGACTGACCAAAATAACTACGTGCTTTGGAGCAAATTGAAGCATGCGGCTCTTTGGTCTTCAGCTGTGAGCCCACTTAGTACTGTCGTGTCTGCGTTTGTTTGGCAAGCAGACACTGGTAGGGTGCAGTCTCTCCCTATTTACCGTGTTGAGGCAATCACCAGTATCACGGATGCAGTTGAGCCGTTGGAGCGGGAAGGTGCAGACCCGTTCTATCTTCCAGTTTCTGTCAACAGCGAACCGCGCCGGGATAAGCATCCCTTAAACACGCATCGATTCCCCACCACCTGGGAGTTTGACATCGTTGCCGACGAGGCTGAACTTCGTGAGCTTCAAAATTCATATCAGCAGTGCTCTTGGATTTATGGGTGCGATGACTCTGCTGGGAATGTGCCAAATAATTCCCCCAATGACAGCAATTCTAAAACCTCGTCGCAGCTGGCGCTTGTACGCTGGCTTCCCTTGTCTCATGCCGATACAGGGAATACACTGCTCCTACTGTTCAATTTCTTCTGTGGCCTTATTTCCTGCGTCTCAGCTTTATTGTCTGTGGGCTTCCGTTGGTACCTGTGGAATGCTACAGGAGTTGGGCCCGACGCCTTTGTGGATCGCATCGGTAACCCTTCCGGGCCAGGCTCGTCGAAGCTCAAACCTCTGCATCGCAGCTTCACGTTGCAACCCAGTGGGAGACTCATGGCTGCCACACCTGGGAACTTGACACGGTCCCACACGCCTGAAGCCCCGTTGAGTTCCACTTCCCTGACCTTATTCCAAGATCCTGGGATGCTGCCACCAAGTAAGTCAAGCATGATAAGAGCCAAATCAATGCATCATGTGGATTCTTGGTGGAAATACTCGGGAGATGATGATGCTTCACTGAGCGACAGGCCAAGTAGTGCATCGCCTATTCCCCATAATTCGCATGTTTCACCGCAACTTTTTGAGCTTCAGTTTCAAACGGCTGAAAAAATTGGATCTGGAGCGGAAGGAAGTGTTTTTCGTGTGAAGCATCAATTTACTGGGGTTTCATATGCGGTCAAGGCGATTCGAATACCAGACGACAATGAAATTTATATACAGGAAGCTATGCTGCACAGTGGCTTTGATTCTGTTAATGTTGTGCGTTTTTTCAATGCCTGGATTGAGCGTGTGCCGCAGAAATTTGCCGAGAAATTTGGTCTGCTTCGTCGCGATGACACCACGGACAACCTCTTTGCGGACACCGTGGACACCCTTGACGATAAGCAGCTGACGGAGCCCACATCTAGCGACGCGTGTTATACCGTCTTATTTATTCAGACGGAGTGGTTTGGGCGCGGCACTCTGGCTGACCACTTTGTTAGGCGAAAAAGTTTTACTCGTGTAGACAATCTAACGCACCTTCTCCAAATTTCAGAGGGACTGCAGTACTTGCACTCACAGTGCGTGGTTCACTGCGATCTCAAGCCGAGAAATATTTTTATGTCCGACTCTGGGATTATGAAAATTGGGGATTTTGGTCTTTCGAAAAAAAATCGTACGCGTTCGTGTATGCTGTGCGAAGACGCAGGTGGGTTTACGTCTGCCTCGTGTACAAGTGCAGAGGAGCACTCACTTCCTGCGTGTACGCCACTTTACTGCAGTCCTGAGCAGAAACGTGGGGAAGCTGCCACCGCTGCAAGCGATATTTACTCACTGGGTTTGATTGCGCTTGAGTTTTACTGTGAGTTTACCACGCAGCATGAGCGGTACCTCACACTGGGGGCGGCACGCCAAGGTGTGTTTCCAAAGGAGTTTGTGGAGAGGTACCCCGCGGAGAAGCTGCTCGTTCAGGAGATGTTGTCGGAAGATGAGGATCGGCGTCCAGCGATGAAGAACATCGTTAAATTTCTACGGCAGGAAATCAACGTTGAGGAGGGGAAGAATGCGGTGACCACGAGGTCGATCTCGCTTAGCCCGATTCGCGGGCACGACTCCCCAAACCCCGGGTCTCCGCTGTACCCATCAGATCATGGCGAACTAGTGACACGGGTCGCCCCCACATTCACCAGACTCTCTTTGAGCTCGCTGGAATCTGCGGCCTTTGCTCACTCCAACTGACGCGCCGAAGAAGAGGAAAGGCTACATACATACATTTATATGTTATATATAGTTATATACATATATAAATGCATGTATATGGACAAATTAAGCGTCCAAGGTAATATATAAAAATGTGTATGGGTGGCTATTTATACAGAAGCTCAGCTGCCTTGGTAAGAGAAAGAAAGAAAGAAAAAAACTTGGGGAGAGGGGTGGGGTGGGGGGAAAGACCAACACGACACACGCCTGCATATAACAACGCACAGAGATTTCTTAAACAAAAATGAGAAGTGAGGGCTGTGCAACTTGAAATGCATATAAATACAAGGAATATACATTTACATATATATGTATATATATTGAGTCTGATGGTTTCTGAATTTTGTGCATTTATTCTGACTCGTTCTCTCCTCGTGGCTTGTTTCTGGGCTGATGTGGGTTAGGTGAAGCTTCGCGTCTTTTCCTTGCTTCTCGTGAAGACTGGCACCACTACTCAGGAAACAACACCAAACCTATATAGTATACATGTAGATAGGTGTTGGCTATGATCACCTATTTTTCACCAGTTTCTTTTATTTATTTTATTATGACGTGCGGCGCGAATTTGCCTTCTCAATTTTCCCGAGCCCAATCCATCAAATGAATCTCCACTCCCCACTCCCTTTTCAAAAAAAAGAAAAGAAGTAAAACAAATATGGAAAAATGTTCATCCTTGTCGACTGTTCTGGACGTTGGTGTTGGCGAACACCAACGACTTTCTTGGGCGCAGTTGGCATGTGGTGTCAGGAAAAAGACAAACCGTTGGTAACGGGGCTCTATTACCCCATTCTACCCTTCTAGGGAAGTGGAATGGGGGGAAGGAGTCAAAACGAGAATATGACTTGTGCCAAACGCAGTTATTTTGTGGTTTCAATGTCGTCGTCTTTTTTCTTCTGCTTGCTCCATGAATGTGCTTTGCCTTCAACAGTGGCGCGGACGAGAAGTGGGAGAAAAAGAAAGCTGCTCTTCTTTTTTTTGTTTTGTTTTCCCCACCTGAGGGGGTTGTGTCGGGAGGGGGATTCCTGCTCCGTGCCACGCACGCGTCTGGTTTTTTTTTTTTAGCTTGTTTGCTTTGTTTTGTCTGTGCGCCACTTTTGGGTGAATTTTTCTATCGATCAGCTTCTGTCGTTTGCGTTGATGTTTCTCTTTCTTCCTGTGTGTGTTTGACATTTCTGGGTTCTGCACAACTTTCTATCCTCTGCGTGTCTTTCAGCGGCATTTTGCTTTTTTTCTTTTTCGTTGTTGCTTTTCGCTTGGGCTCTTGTTGGGGGAGTGTGCGGTGACCAGATGAGAGAGGGGGGGGGAGGAGACAGAGGCGCGAGGGAGTGCCGAGTGAGACGAACGAGAAAGACAAGACACAAATGGATGAAGAACAGTCTCTTGAGAGAAATCTCTACATGGGGGAAGCAACGAAATCGAGTGAGTGGGTGAATCGTGTGGAAAGAACAATCCAATAAATAATTTTGAAAAAAGAAAAAGGAAGGAACTACATGCAAACAACAAGTTTGTATTACAGGAGTTGCCCGGCTCTCTGTTTCTTAGTGTTCCTTCTGGCTGCCGTGAAGTGATTTTCCTTGATTCCCTTTGCGTGACGAGAGCTCTGTGCATGCAGGCCGCCTGTCTTTTATTGTTCTTATTTTGTTGTTTCCTTGACATTTCCTTCGTTTTTTCCTCACTTGTCATTTATTTGTTTTTTAGTTTTGTTGCTTTTTCCTCTTGCTCCGCCGCGCGTACGTTGGCGTGATAGTCTTGAGGCGAGAAGAACAAAAAAAAGAAGGACGGGGCGGGGTTGCAGCCCCATTTTTCCCCTTAGTTATGCCCAGTGGGGGCGGGCTGGATGCGGCGGGAGAACCGCAGCGGCCACACTCTGCCGCATTCTGGGCGGAAATGGAAGCGCAGAGCAAAAAATCGCTGGAGCTTAAGGTGAAAATTGAGACATTCTGCAGGCGTTGGTGTCCGGGACAAACGCATCTGGTGCCGTTTTTGGCCGTTGAGTTTTGTGGGCGCGAAGAGGAACTTGAGGCGCTATTGCTTGCCATGTACGGTCACTCACTAGCAGAAGCACCGCGCGCGTCAGGCGACGCAGCGAAGGAGGAAGAGGAGACTCCTCCTCCGTCGGTGGCTGCCAGCGTTGCGGCTGCTACTGCTACTGCTACTGCTGCCTGTCATTCTGACTCCAGCTTTATGAAGCAGGCCGTGGCTCTTTCATCCTTCTTTGGTCTTGGCCGTCACTTTGTGCCAGCCGTCTATGCGCAGACGAAGCACACGCAGGATCGAAGACGAAATTCTTGGGGTGTGTGGAGGCCGAAGGATGAGCAAGAGGGTGCAGCGGGAAGCTTAGAAAAAGAGGAAGAGCTGAGTATAGAACAAACAGTCCTTTTTGAGGTGCTTGCCACCCTTTTCCCTGACTTTTTGTGCGAGGCTATGGAGGAGGGTAACCAGCGCACCGCTTTTCTGGCCAAGAGGCTAGCCACTTTTTTAGCGTTTCATGAGCCGGACAGTAGCGTGAGGAAGTATTTTGCATCGCACAACAATGGCACGGATGTGGGAAACATGCTCCGTAGTATGTTTGTTCAACACTACGCATCTCTCATCAAGGAGTATGCGGTGACAGATCTTTCTCCTGATGACCTGGACGAATTGGCCTCTCCCTCCTCCAGTAGTGTTGTCTCGGTGGAGTCTGCTGGTGGTGGTGAAGACGCGGAGAGTCGACGCCGCAGGACGAAGACGAGGTTGCGTGATTGGGCTGCAGAATATGGCCTGTCTGCGTGTTTCCCTCCAATCCCTTCTAGATCCTGCCCCGAGCTCCATGATGTGGCGGTTGACACCGGGGAATTGACTGCGGCAGAGAAAATGGGGCTTGTGAAGTCGCGCTTGAGCCGCACAGAACGGGGAACCATGACGCAAGCACAGCTAACAAACTGTGGTGTTGGCTGTTTCCCTGCAGCGACGCGTCGGCTCTACGGTGTAGGAAGACCGCTTTTGGGCGGGGCTCGTAATGTGGCTCATACGGCGGCAACTCAGTGGAGACAGAACTGGGTTACGGATCCAGGTGAGTACACACCGCCAACTTCTTCCATCGTGTTGGAAACCAGCAGCTGTCAGAAGTGTCGCTTCCTAGAGGCGCAACTGACGGAGGCTAAGGCGGCTCTTCAGCATGTTTACAGTATGGCTGTTGCCAATGAAGAGAAGCAATTTGATAACGAGGCCTCCTACTATGCCAAGCAGGAGCAATTTCTTTCTCTTGCCGCTGCGCTTGGAGTGGATGGTTCCTCTTTAAATAACACTGTACCATTACATTTGCTTCAAACGTTTCATGAGTGTGTCAATTGCAAAGACCTGCGTCTGCACATTAAATCGCTGGAACAAAAGCTGCGAGAAAGCTATGATAATCATCGTGAGCTTCTTGTCAAGATGCGGCGCGGCCAACTCTCACCACCGCCTCATCTGCGGGTAATATTGCCTTCTGTTGGGGGGATGGAGAGAAGGAGCGTCTCCACTATGACCGAGCTAACGGGAGAAGAGTTGGATACGTTTGTTGGGTATATGTTCCTGGAATCCCTGTAGGCGCTTGAAAGTGCTCACACTTCCTGCTTCCCTTGCCTGCTCTCACTCTCTGTGGTGGATGTTTTTTTTAATTATTGTAATCATTATTATTACTATTATTGTTATTATTATTACTATTATTTTACATTTCTAGTGTTTTTATTTTGAGTCTTGGTTTTTTGTTCTTTTTTTGGGGGTTGGAGTGATATGAAGTCGCGGTGTCAGTGGATCACGATTTTAACGGGCGCTGGCGTCTCGGCAGAGTCCGGGCTAGCGACTTTTCGTGACAAGGACGGTCTATGGGAAAAGCACCGTGTCGAGGAGGTTGCGTGCCCCTATGCCTTTATGCGTAATCCGCTGCTTGTGCAAAGGTTCTATAACGAACGACGGAGGGCACTTCTCTCACCTGCGGTGACACCTAATCCAGCACATATGGCCCTTGCCAGACTTCAACGAGAGCACCGTGGAGGGCGCGTAGTGATAGTTACGCAGAACGTTGATAACCTCCATGAGCGTGCAGGATCCACGTCGGTGCTGCATATGCACGGGGAATTACTCAAGGTGAGTTGCGTAGCTACTGGGGAGGTCTTTGATTGGACGCAGGATGTGGTGCACGGAACGACCCGATGCAGCTGCTGCAATGCGGTGGAGACGTTGCGACCGCACATTGTCTGGTTCGGTGAAACGCCGTTGCATCTGGATGAAATAAACACACTGATGAAAGCTACTGACCTCTTCGTCGCCATTGGAACATCCGGTAACGTGTACCCCGCTGCGGGCTTTGTGTTGCAAGCGAGAGAGAACGGGGCAAAGACGCTGGAGTTGAATTTAGCTCCGGGAGAGAACGTCAGTGATTTTGATGAATCGATATATGGCAAGGCCTCCGTGATTGTCCCGGAGTGGGTGGAGAGGATGCTTCAGACAGGCGCGTAGGATTCTCTCCGTAATGTTGTACCTCCCCTCCCCCCTCCCCGCTCCCCTGCTGTCTCCACCGACGCGCTTCTGCGCCTCCCTCCTGGTCACCGTCATTCCCCGTTTCATTCACTCCCCACCTGCACACACACTCTTTATCTGTCTTTCTTTCATTTTACCTCGGCGCTGCCACGGCTCGGGGGAATAGGTAAAGCAATAGACAGTTCACGCGAAGAAGCAAACCAAGCCAAGCATCCCCTGAGGAGAATATAATAAGTCGGCCGAAAGGAAAAGATACTCACTGAACTCCTGGCAATATATTCTTTCAACGACGCTCCGATGGCTCTCCGCTCCGCGATCCGTTACCTTGGGCTGATCCTAATTCTCCTTATCTTTATTGCAACAGGCTTTCAACATATCTCCAATCCCTCGGTAAGTGCCGCGTTGCTGGCGAAGAGTCAGTTTCCCAGAATGTTGAAAATGACCGGCGTTGAGTACCGACTTAGCGCCTCCGACTACGCGCTTTTTATTCAGGCGTCTGGTGCTCTTTTCCTTGCCTTCTCTCTCTTCATTTTGCTGGGGGTGGGCCGGTGCTTCTTTGCCCTCTTGTTGGCAATGAGCACCCTTCTTCTTACGGTTGCCTTTCACGTGAATATTGACGACCCAATGAGGATCAGCAACAATGACCTCTTTCAACTGATGAAGAACTTGTCCATCGTTGGTGCCCTGCTCTTCGTTGCGGGCAGCGGACAGCGCTCGCATCGCTACTCCAAGGCGTACAAGGAGGCAGAAATAGAGAAGAAGAAGCGCTAGTGACTGTTGCGGTTTCTGCTTCTCCCGTCGTTTGCACAGAGGAGGTGGAGAGATCCCTCTTTTTATTATTATTTTTTTTTGCTTCGATTTCTCTCGTTCTTGTGTCTTTGCTTGCTTTCTCTTCAACTTTTACTCCACGCCATTTGTATTTCGCAAGTGTTTCTGCTCCCTTCGATTCCGTGGGGTGCGTTACACGTTCCACGCGGCACGGGGGTTGCTGGTGCATTTTTCGGGCTGCGCCGCGAGAGTCCCTTTCGCGCTGCGGTGGCGAACGTTGCGGACCACCGACAAGGGCCGGAGGAGGAAGGGGAGGAATTGTGGCGTGGAAGGAGAGAGTGTGCGTGTGTGCGGGGCGGAGGAGGAGGCATTTGAAGCCAGGGCAGAAGGATGCGGGCAGGCCGGTGTTGTTGACGGGAGGGTTTCTCCGCCCTCTCCCTGTGCGGAGAAGAGGGAGGGGGAAAAAAAAGGCCGCGCGGGGCAGATAACGTCAACACCACCGCGGAAGAGAAGGTAGAAAAACAAGAGGGACGCAGGATAAAAGAAAAAGTGCGGAATAAGAGAAGACGAATAGGCCTCAAGGAGAAACTGAAAAAAAAAAACTAAATGAAGGGAACATGCGGAATCCAATAGAAATACAAAGGCAGAGGGAGTATAAAGAGAAACGATGAGGAGGAAAAAATATATAATTGAAGCATATGGGCCTTAGGCATGTGAGGAAGGTGCAGAGGAGCGATTGTTTTTT